GATCTGCAAAAGAAGAAGATTATTTATGAAATAAAAGATTAATTCAAGGCACAACAGCGCGAGTAAGAATACGGTTTGTTCTGAGAATCAGCCTCTTCTGCGGTCGCGTTTTATACACATCCAACCTGGGCCAAGGTCAGAGGTTTAATCTTTAACTTATTGATCCAAATAAATAAATCAATTAGAAAAAAAAAAAAAAAAAAAAAAAAAAAAAAAAAAAAAAAAAAAAAAAAAAAAAAAAAAAAAAAAAAAAAAAAAAAAATTCGCTGATTCAGAGCTGGTTGCAGATGAAGAAAAAAAAAAAAATCAGGAATGAGATCAACTTCCAGCACTGATTAACAACAAAATAAAATAAAATAAAATAAAGAAATGAACAAATGTACGAATGATTCAGAGCCAGCTGTAGAAGTGACAAAGTTTAAAAGTTAAAAAAAGAAATAAAAATAATAAACTCACATATAGAGATACAGATTAAATAAATAAAATGATAAATGATAAAGAATAAAAATTAAACGAATAATCAAACTAAATGAATAAATAATAGTAATAATAAACACTTGGGCCAGCTGTAGACGTGTTCAAGTGCGGAGGAAAAAGAAAACAGAAAAAAAAAGCCTCCGGGGGAAAAAAAAAAAAAAAAAAAAACAGCTCGTGTATCAATGAAAAATAAATAAATAAATAAAATAAGAATAAATTAATATATTTTTAAAAACTGTTTATATAAACATATTACTGGAACATGATGGTGGTGTTTCATAAACACACTGGTTTTATTTCCTGGAATCTGCAGAGAAAAAAACTTTACTGTAATGTGAGTGTGTGTGCGTGTGAGTGAGCGTGTGTGTGTACGGTGTGTGTGTGTGTGTGAGTGAGTGTGTGTGTGTGTGAGTGTGTGAGCGTGTGTGTGTACGGTGTGTGTGTGTGTACGCATTGTGTGTGTGTGTGTACAGTGTGTGTGTGCATTGTGTGTGAGTGAGTGAGTGAGTGTGTGTGAGTGTGTGTGTGTGCATTGTGTGTGAGTGAGTGAGTGTGTGTGTGCATTGTGTGTGTGAGTGTGTGAGCGTGTGAGCGTGTGTGTGTGCATTGTGTGTGTGTGGGTACAGTGTGTGTGTGCAGTGTGTGTGTGCAGTGTGTGTGTGCATTGTGTGTGAGTGAGTGAGTGAGTGAGTGAGTGAGTGTGTACAGTGTGTGTGTACAGTGTGTGTGTACAGTGTGTGTGTACAGTGTGTGTGTGTGTGTGTGTGTGTATTGTGTGTGTGTGGAGACGGATAAAGACTTCTTTTTAACATGTTAAGCAACTGTACTGCAGTCCGGACGCCTTGTAACTGAAAACATTTCAGCAATATTTCCTCTTCAAGATTTCAAAAACCTAAAAATCTCAAAAAAAAAACAAAAAACCTGAAAGCACAAAGAGGTTTAGAGGACGAGTAGCACGACTCCCGCAGACGTTTCCCCACAACGCCACAAAAAAGAGGAAAAGGTGCGAAACCTTCAACTGTCACTTCCTCAGTCACTGCAGCTGCAGACCTCGTTAATGAGAACGACTCATTTACTGACTTTAACGACTCATTTACTGACTTTAACGACTCATTTACTGACTTTAACGACTCATTTTTTTCTGACTCAGTAAAGATTTACAGTCAGCATCAGCATTATAAACGATAGAGAAACACTAGATGAGTGCATTCGGGGATTTACAGAGCATTAAGACAAACGCCTCACTCGGGTTTCGGTGAAAAGCCACGCGCTCGTTATCTGACATTTAAATGTTAAAAAGATTTCTATCTTATAAGATAAACTTCAGAAGGCTCACGACGATTTCCGCACAACAAACTCTCCCACTGCTGATCACGACATGCTCGTAGTTAATGAAATACGACGAGGACAAAACTCAATTCCCAAAAAACCCCTGATTCAGAGTTACTTAAAAAAATAAATAAAAATCTACGAGACAAGAGATAAGAGCGAGGCGCCAGACTGAGCGCGACTTCAGGGTCACGCCGTTACGCAAATCAGAGCTCGTGCTGTAAACACCAAAGATACAATAATAACACTAAAGAATTATAAAAAATAAACAGACAAAATAATAATAATAATAATAATAATAATACTGATAATAATAATAATACTAATAACCATCATCATCGACTTAAAGCCAGTTGTAAACTGTAAAATAAATAAATAAATAAATAAATAAATAAATAAATACTACAGGAATGATATAAAGTAATAAACAGACAAAATAATAATAATAATAATAATAATAATAATAATAATAATAATAAAGTGATTCAGAGCCAGTTGTAAACTATTTTTAAAAAAGTCAACAGTACAGGATTTATACCAAATAATAAATAAACCCAATAAATAAATAAATAAATAAATAAATAAATAAGTGATTCAGAGACAACTGTAAGCTGTAAAAAATATATATAAACTACAGGAATTATATAATAATAATAATAATAATAATAATAATAATAATAATAATAATGACAATAATATTAATGATTCAGAGACTGCTGTAAACTGTAAATATAATTATGCAAGCTACAGGAATAATATTTAATAATAATAATAATAATAATAATAATAATAATAATAATAATAATGATAAGAAGAAGAAGAACTGATTCAATTCCCCGCCAAAAAAGAAAAAAATCTCCTGGCACTGTTTCTGAGATTTACACACAAAAAAAAGTGGAGAACATGTTGAGATAAGAGCGAGGCGCCAGACTGAGCGCGGCTCCATTACGCAAATCAGAGCTCGTGCTGTAAACACGGCAGGTTAAAATTAAACTATTAACTATTAAAAAAAACAAAAAAAGTTCAGTTTAAATGCATAAAGTGATAAATAACCTGATCATTTCACATTCAACTCGCAGGAGTTCCTGTGTGCAGGGAAAAGAGCAACACTTCCATTTTATTAAATCTAATTCAATTATTATTAAAATTATTGCACTGAAAATAAACCAAATTTAAATATTTAATCTATTAATGATGATTAAACTGTTCAACAATTATCCACATTAATCTTTAGCTTTAATACAATCAATATTTTTACAGGAAGTCAGCAAATATTCAGTCTATTAAAGCTGCCAATAATTTTAAAATCACCTTAAATACATTTCAAAGAAATAAATAGTTTAAATATTTATTAATTATTTGTGTTTTGTCCTGAAGGGTGCCAATACTTTTGCTGCAGATGACAATATAAGAGTTAATAAAAATAATAATAATAATTATAATAATAATAATAATACTTCTTTTCCTGCTTTATGTCTCAAATTATCTGAGTTTTATATTAAATTATATATTTTTATATAAAACTTCCGCCTTTTACTGATGGCGCGTGCACGACAGGAAGCTGGGTTCACTTCCGGTTGCGAGCACACATAAAGGTCATTCAAATTAAAAAGAGGACAAAAATAAAATAATCAAAAAAAGGCAATGACACTAACCAAATAAACTTTATTAATCAATAATTAAAGCATGGAAATAAGTCATAATAAAGTTCTGAGCTCATTTAAATATAAATATAAACATAAATATAAATATAAACATAAACATAAACATATGCAAATATTAGAGCTCAGCAGACAGAAGCTTTCATACTTTCACTTTAAAAAAGTCATATTTATAAATTTATATTTTTTCAGTATCTAACTAACAGACCTGGTTAAGATTAGACAGCTAGTTAGCTTCCTGGTTACTGGTTAGCATTTGCATTAAATGAATCTGAAACTGGCACAAAATGGCTGAAATGTCAGTCTAATGCTGCAGCTTAGAGAACAGGAATCAGTTTTTAATCATCGCTACATTCATTATATTTTTTAAAACCTTAAAATTTCTCACCTTTTAATCTGAAATCAGTAAAGAAGCATGTAGCAGCTGCTGCGCTCGCGCCCGACCACGCGGTCTCTGACTGATTCGAATCCTCGACTCATGTGTCATTTATGAATGAATCGGATCTTTGAGAGTCGACTCGCATATTTACATACAACTGTGTTCTTTCTCACCTATTTCTGTGTGCTCTCTTTCTTTCTTTCTTTCTTTTCAATTCTTGCTTTCAGTCATACTCTTGTTCTTTCTTTCTTTCTTTCTTTCTTTCTTTCTCTTGTCTATTCCTTTACATTAGTATATATCTTTCTTTTTTTTCTTTCTCGTCATTTTCCTTCTTACTCTCTTTCTCACATTTTTCAATTCTTCCTTTATTCTGCATCGTTTCTCTTTCTTGTCTATTCCTTTATCCTGCATTTTCAATTCTTCTTTTCTTACTATACTCTCACTTTTTTCAGCTGTTACTTTTAACCATACTCCTTTCTTTCTTTCTTTCTTTCCTTCTTTCTTACTCACTCTCTTTCTCTCACTTTTTTTTAATTCTTGCTTTTAATTTCTTTCTTGTCTATTCCTTTATCCTGCATTTTCACTTCTTCAATCCATTGTTTATCTTCTTTCTTACGCTCACTGTTTTCAGTTTTTACTTTCAATCACACTCTTTCATTCTTTCTTTTTTCCCCGTGATGATGTAAGCAATCTCGTTACTCACTGTAATGGAGGACTGACCCAAATGCAGAACCAGCTGAAGCCCCTGATGTGCACACGATGCTATGATGCTATCTAAGGGACAGGGCCTGGAGAAGTGGGGCTCGGCCCTGGGGAGCAAACTGAGGGAAGAACATCTCCACAGAGGAACTACCAACCCACACAAAGTTCTGAGAGCAGGCCTAGACAAACAGGGTGGAGAAGAGAAAACAGAATAACAAAATGTCCGGAAGGACTGACTTCCTGGAGGGAGGAAGCGTGGAAGGAAATACATTGTTGTTGTTGTTGTTCTTTCGGCCGCTCCTGTTAGGGGTCTCTACAGCGGATCATCGGTTAGATTTGGCACAGTTTTTACACCGGATGCCCTTCCTGACGCAACCCTCCCTGATCTTATCCGGGCTTGGGACCGGCACTGGAAGTGCACTGTCTTGTGCAACCCCAGTGGCTGGTGTTGGCTCTCTGGCCGGGAATCGAACCCGGGCCGCGGCGGTGAGAGCACCGAGGCTTAACCACTGGTCCTCCACTGGAAGGAAATAAGTAAACTCAGGTTGGTTTTTTTTGTTTTAAAGCAAGAACCTGGAGAAAGCCAGAGAAACCCTGAGAGATCTTAGCTCCAAGAGGTTTGATCTGAGACACACACAGAGAGAGAGAAGGAGAGAGAGAGAGAGAGAGAGAGAGAGATAGTAAAGCAATATTTACCAAATGACCAGCTTAGTCTCTGTACAGCGCTCCACAAGGAGAACTCAGGACTGACAGTTTGAGGAACCTTTAAACAGCCCAGTCTCCATCTTTAAGATTCAACATTCAAGAGTTTCTTGTCATATGTGCAAATCTATCTATCTATCTATCTATCTATCTATCTATCTATATATATATATATATGTATATGTGTGAAATGTAAACATAGAGGACATTCATGTGCAAGAAAAAGTGTACGCTCATTAAGTTATTTAAAGTTATTAAAGTTATTAAAACTTTACACTCATTAAGTTATTAATTCATTCTCTTCAGTAAGTAAATTCTTCCACTCAAAGCTCTTTTCCACACCTGGCGTGTGTGTGTGTGTGTGTGTGTGTGTGTGTGTGTGTGAATGAACACAGAATAAACAGAAATAAATCTTTATGATAATGCAGCACATCAGTGCAGGGAGGTTTAGTGTCTCTCAGTGCATGTGACTGAAACATCTTCAGTAAAATTCATTACAACATGTTTATTCTCTGAATTAGACTCAGAGTGAGATTTCCTTACACACTTTCAGCTGTACTGAATAAAAGAACCATCACTGACCGAGTGCGTGGGAGCCGAAAGAGTCGACTCTTCTTGGTGATCTGACTCAGCTGTGGCTACCCGATCCGCGTCACCTGGACGATCTGCGCATGCGCGCAATAAACATCGCGTTTCTTTTGCATTAAACTGCTGAGAAAGCAATAAATTATTGTTATTAAGCCAATTTTGGAAAAAAGAAAAAAGATCATCGTTGTTATTCCAACTAAAATGATGATCATAGATCAGAACTAAAATCATTTGATTATTGAAATTGGAGAAATTAACTGGTTGTAAATGTTGTAATTATATAATAACAAGGTTTTTAAACATCAGACTTCAGAGAACACAATCCTGGGAATAATATTCTGTATTAAGAGTCAGACAAAACAAACTGCTTAATTAATCAATTAATTAATTAATCAAATCAAATCAGTTAATCTGAAAGTATTTTTTTCAGTGAGGCAAGTGGACGAGGTTTAGACACCATGCTCAGAGCACCGTATTCTTCATGATTACAGCGTCTCGGACATTATTTTGTGTTGTGATGTCACAGTGTTTGCGTTTGTACGCTGTAACCATGGATACTGACGCTCTGTGATTTGGACAGTTTACAGTTAGATTTAATGATATGAACCAACTGAGAGACGAGTTAGTTCCTGTTCACACTTCCATTATAGCAGCGATAAACACTCGTTCCCTCACCTGCCTCTCTCTCTCTATCTCTCTCTCTATCTGTCTCTCTCTCTCTTTCTCTCTGTCTCTTTTATCTCTCTGTCTCTCTGTCTGTCTCTCTCTCTCTCTCTCTCTCTCTCTCTGTCTGTCTATCTGTCTGTCTGTCTCTCTCTCTCTCTCTCTGTCTGTCTCTCTCTCTCTATCTCTGTCTGTCTGTCTCTCTCTCTCTCTCTCTCTCTCTGTCTCTCTCTCTCCCTTCACTCTCAAAAAAAAATCAGCTTGTCATTTTATTGAGAAACAGGAAACGCTTGAACTCTCTGTCCTGAGCACTTCCCCATGCTGGGAAACTTTGCAAACCACAGTGAGTGTTACAAAGCGCTGACACTGGAGACTCCTTCCATAGATGTTACATAAACGTCTCCTTACAGAAAAATTCACCAAATCGACAGTTACAGGTTTTACTTTGTTAAACAACCCATTTTAAAATCTGTTTATTATTAGGTTTAGATTGTGTGCAGTCCCTGTGTATGAGCTGTTACCATGGAAACGATAACGTATTAGAACGAGCGCATTAATATAAACCTGTCGCTCACGTTACAGCTGGAACTGCGTTATACGGAAACCTTCTGACCAATCAGATTCGAGCATTCACCTGCGAAAAAGCAGTCAAAATAACTTATTAATAAACTATAAGCTTTTGTTTGTTCAGTTATTAACTGAAGTGATTTTTATGTTTATATTCTTTCTTTTTTGTCTCATCCTTCTTGGACAGCTGACTGTAACTCTTACAGGTTCATTAAAACTCTCTGTGTGTGCACTAATGTAATAAAAATCATTTCCAAAACTAACAAAACCTCAAACCCTGTACCGTGTGAGGATTTTGACGCATGCGCACTGGAGTAAATCGCGCTTTAAACCGTTAGCGCATGTGCAGTACAGATCCGGCCGCATCGTCACTACCCGATCTGTGCCTAACACCCAATCTGCACTGCGCATGCGCGGGGAGCCACACTCGCTACTGGAATCTGCACGTAGCCCCATGTTCACCTCATGGGTGTGTCATGGCGGCGGGCTTCAAAATAAAAGTCACATATCGGCATTTATTTATTTATTTATTTATTTATTTATTTATTTATTTAACTGCATTTGTTTCAGTGACACAATAAGTAAATGAAGTCATACATACAATAATGATTATTTTAAACAGGTGCAGAGGAAAGAAAAAAGAGACACTAAAAACTTAAATATAATACATGAATTTAGCTACCAGAAGTATACGCCCTCAATGAATAAATAAATAAACTGATTAAAATAGCTTAATTTTCATATCGTTCCAATTTCCCAATGATCCAATCAAGCAGAAGAGATGTCTTTGCAGATTTGTTGTATCTGATGTTAAGCAAGGATTCAGAAAACAGCTTTTATTCTGCTATATTCACTATAAATAATGTAAGATTAGGTTTGGAGGAGGTTAGTCTGACTTTGTGTAAATGAAAGTTTCTCCAAAAGCTCTAGAAGTGTTTTATAATGTTTTATACTATAAGGAACAATACCATTAACTCATCAATATGAAGTAATTTATGGAAAGTTTGGAAAAATCAACACTGATACGACTTTCTGAAAGCCTGCTGAATAATTCCAAGAAAAAGAAAATGACAAAAAATAATTACATTCCAAACGTACATTAACAGATGAGCACTGCAAGACTAAAGCTTCTTTCATCTTATTAGTTATAAAATATTTATTCAAATATAAATTAATATTATGAGTAATTGAGGAAAATCTACTTTCCATTTGAGAATTCGTCGAGAAATACGGCTCTGAGCAGCAGTTAGTGTTTTTCTAACGGGCTTTTAGAGCCTGTTGGTGGAAATTAGACGGTTTTATGTTTTAAAAATCACAAAAGCACGTAGGAATTTTAATCCACCAAGTAGGAATTTTTGAAAATGGTTTTGTTTCATCTGTACAATGTTTCATCCAATTAATTTTGAAAATAGAATTGAGAGAGTTGAAATCTAATACACTGAACCCCTCGTCTTTACAAGGTCTAATCATTGGAGTTTATTTTTTCCCTTTATATACTTAGTTTTATTTTTCCAAATATCCTGGAATCTATAATTTCACATGTTTTAGGGTCAACATACTGAGATAGATAGATCTATCTATCTATCTATCTATCTATCTATCTATCTA